CAGAATGTTGCCGTTTATAATGGTATCTTAGATTTGACTTAGTTTTATATTTGTTATCGCATGTGTCACATTTGTACGGACGCAACGATGAATGAAGTGCTTCATGCTCAGTTAAGGTTCGTTTTGAACTCAAATGTTTATCACAGAACTTAAAAAGAATAATACACATTATTGTCACTTTGAGATATCAATGCGCAATATATTTGACGAATACAATCGGAAAACGTACTCGGCATTTAAAAGGGTGCTCACGAGAAGAATGAAGTTTTTTATGATGTGTCAAACTGTTCTTAAATTTATAACTTTTATCGCATTTGTCGCATTTATGCGGACGCAACGATGAATGAACTGTTTCATGGCTAGTTACATTTCTTTTTGTGTAAAAACGTTTATCACAGAACTTAAACAGAATAGTAAACATTATTGTTATTTTGAGAAATCACTGCGCAATATATTTGACGATTTTACAATCGGAAAACCTACTTGGCATTTATAAAGTTTCTCACGAGGAAGATGACGTTCATTATGGGATGGTAGACGTTCTTCAGGTTTAAAATTTCTTTCGCCTATGTCATAGTCATACGGACGCAACGATGAATGAACTATTTCATGGGCAGTCAATTTCTTTTTTACATAAAAACCATTATGACACACCTTAAAACGAATAGTAAACGTTATTGTTACTTTAAACAATCAATACGCGATATATTTGACGAATGCAATTCAAAAACTTACTTGACACCTATAAGGTTTTTCACTAGGAGGATGATTGTTAACTTGTTGCTCCATATTTCACTTACGTTGTAAAGTGTTTTTGAACGTGTGACATTTGTATGAATGCAATGATGAAAATGGACAGTTTTCTAAATATTCAAAGCGCATTATTATACAATAGGTACATAATAAATTTAGTGAAAGATAAACAGACTGAAAGAAAAAAAAAGAAGATTGAGGATAGACACAAAGAAAGTGATAAACAGAGTAAGAAAGAGATTACGTGACGGAGAACATTAAATATACTGTAGTGTATATACATAGTGTGTGACAGTTACCTTAAAGTCTCTCGTAGGCAGATAGGAGTAAACCTGAGTCGAAAAGACTTGAATCAAATTTTTCTATTACATTTAAGAAAGAAATAAGTATCGAATAAATCAAGCTGATCAGCGCTGACCTTTAGCTGGGCGGACCTTATTTTTCGACTCAGTTTTACTCCGTCTACTTGCTTCCGATAGATTTTAAAATACTTTAAATACTCGAACACTTTGTATATTTTCCTTACTTTGCGCACGAAACGTTTTCTGCTAGTTATGCTAATTTCATCAATAGATTGTTCTAAATTTTTTTGTTTCTCGTAATTTGTGCAAATCTATATCAATATGCGTAAACATTTTTAACTGAAGACTTCTATATATACATACGTGTGGTGTTTGGCAAAAAGTCGACTCCAGTGAGCAAAGAATTCTTTACGGAGATGAGTTCTACGAAGAACACGATATGTATACCTAAGAGCACAAGTGAAAACTAAACGTTTTCCACGCTGATATGTTATCGCAAACGGAACGAAAACCTCAGATGTAAACACAATCTTGTCCGAGGTATAAATATAAATAGATATAAATGTTATTGTATCGTGATTTGGTTTGTAGGAGACAGATAATATGTTACATGTAAGTAACGATATGTTGAAGTAACTTTGAAGATTATTTGAAAAAATAAATATAATAACATCTCAACTTTTTTTTAATTTTACTTTTTCAATGTTTATTCATAAAAATTCAAGTCCGTTCGGTTGTAAGTCGACTTTCATTTTGAATTAGTGAAATCGTTGTACTCCGTTACATATCGATTCTGAATGCGATGCTACTCAAAAAGCAAATGGTTCCTCTGCAATTAGATTCCGAGTATTTGGATGGTCCAGTAAGCGAATATGATCGGACACTTAAAGAAGAATAGAAAGAAACTTACATTTTACAGGTTAATCAGTTTAAGATAGGAAAGTCGATAGAGACTCGCGTTACACAAACTTGAGTTGCGATTAAAACAAAAGTAGATAAACCAAAGATGCGTACATGAAATTGAAAGTGATTTTGATAAAGACGCGTTTATTGTTACACACTCGTTATTTAAGTTGCGATCAGCACGCGCGCTGCCATTTCGCACATCTCGATAAATCAGCTTGTGGAGGTTTGAGACGAGCCCACGCAAACTATACAACGCGAATTTATACCCGCATTAATGTCCGCACTTTTGTCTCGTACCGCTTTATTACAGCTCTTGTCAATCATAATAACGATATTACGTTTTCCTTCGGTTGTTACAATATATATGTTTGCGATCAGCGTGTGCAAATATCTTCTCGCGTGATACCCTGTTTAGGTGGTTATGAAAAATAAATTTGCGTTCGCAGAAATTATTATTGTTACCACAATAAATAGTTCGCGATTTTTTTCTGTACTTATAAGATTCGCACGTTGTATTTGAAATACGAAATTTTCGTTACAATTTTAGTATTTAAAGTGGTATTTCGCATGACATACACACACTTTACACACAAATAGTTTTATAAAAATCGCTGCACTGATAATTATGGGATAATATTTACTTTATTTTAAGATTTACATTTGTGCAAACAGTACAATATTTTTATGTGGCGTCATACAATGTTAATCCGTAAAGTTTTGGCTGTTATTGTATCTTCGTCTCTTTTGTTACATAAAATTTTCTATTCGTTTGTTTTGTTACATAAAATTTTTTGATACTAAGAGATTTCGTATTTACGTATATATTCTTACATGTATTTTTAGATGTCGTTAAAATCAGCAAAGCTTTGTCTACAGTGGGTTTCGTAATGAGTAATATACGTTGCAGAGAGTGAAGTTCGACCTTTTACAAGAAATTTAAAAGTTTTTGTTTCAAGTCTGGCTTACGGTATTATTTACCGAGTTTTTACCTATTAAAGTTCTTCAATGAGACGGCGCGTATATAAAGTATGCAGGAGCGTCGCGCGCTGTGCTACTTATTGCACTTGTCCCGATTACATTGCTTCTGCTAAAACTTTATTCTACTATGTCACACTAGACACTACTTGAATAAATAAATAAATCACGTAGAAATTAATCAATTAATTGATTTATTTGAAAAAAGTAGTGATACATTGTACAAAATTAATGAATACATAAATAATTAATGTTAATTGTGTCTTTTTACGTTTTTATTATTTAAAGATTTAACTCATATACAGAAATAGATGAGTAATTATTAGTTAAATTAATTTACTTAGTTTATAAATAAATAAGTAATTTTAATTTAAAGTAATCTATTTTTTTACATAATAAAAACGTGAAAAGACACGTTTAACATTAATTAGTTATGTATTCATTAATTTTGGTCACTGTATCACTACTTTCTTGAAATAAATTGATTAGGTGATCAATTTCTACCTGGTTTTCTTTATTTTTTTATGTAGTATATAGTGTGACATAGAATGTAGGTTTAACAGAAGCAATCGAATCGGGACAAGTGCAAGGAGTAGCTCAACGAGTGATTACCTGCATACTTCGTATACGCGCCGTCTCATTGGAAAACTTTAATACTTAAAAACTCGGTACATAAATAATAGTTTAAGTCAAAAATGAAAAATGACCTGTGTGTTCAAAATGTTCTCTTCTTTCACTACTTGCACAGTTTACTCATCCTTACGGGACACTGTATATTTAGTACATAAGTTCGGATTCACTAATGTGAACTGAGTCAAATAGACATATATATTTATTTCGTTATACTTATCATAGAGAAACAGTTAACACTACATCCTGCAACAAATAATAAGCTTGAATGTATATGTGCGATATCAAAGTGTATGTATTAAAAACTTAATGTATAGTATAAACATATATTCCAAATGTATTATATGTGTATACATATGTCTGTATGTGTATGTGTATATATATATATATATATATTAAAATACATAATGTGAAAACAACACACTGGTATTATAATATTAGTTAATATATTACGTATTCATACATATAGTACATATATACATATAATACATCTATTACGAATATTCTTGAAAACTAAATAGAGGATATAGGCCAATGAGAGCATACGAACACCGTTGATGTAGTGTTGATTATGTAATAAGTTATTCTTCTATTAACAATATTTTTGATTGACGTCGGTCTTTTTTACAATTCTTATGTAATAACAAATCGCTGGGATCAATTTTGGTCACTTCTGGTTGTTAAAGGCAAGATCATGGTCAGGTGTTATTTTTAGTCACCGCAACGACGATCCTGTCTTTTCAAAGTGATAACAGCAACTTAATGTGATAAGAGTTGTGATTCGAGTTGCTGTTATCACTTGGTAAAGACAGGATCGTCGTTGCGTTGGCTGAAATTAACACTTGACCATGATCTTGCCTTTAAAAAACAGAACTGACCAAAATTGATTCCAGCGATTTGTTATTATATAAGAATTGTAAAAAAGACCGACGTCACTCAAGAATAATTTTAATAGAATAAAAAATTTCTAAATAATCAACGTTCCATCAATATGTTTATATGCTCTCAGTGGTTGATAATCTCTAAATTATTTTTGAAATTTGGAGCATCACATACTTTTTTCAGATTTATTACTGAAAACTTTCCTGGAACTTTTATACCTTTTTTTCTGTTTGCTGATTGTTTTTTTTTATGATACATCTTGTTTCTTAAACAGTACTCTTTTTTTATAACTTTCTTCGCATATATTACACGTGTAGTGAACACAAATTCCATATTTATCTTCCAGTATTTGTGACTCGAAAAAATTGCCACACACCTTAAAAAGAATAATACATATTATATTCACTTTAAGAAATCAGTGCAGTATGTTTTATTCATACATTCGAAAAACGTACTTGGCACTTAAAACGGTACTTAAAATGTCGTTTGATATGGAGTTTTAGATGTGTCTTGGTTGTAAAAGGTTGATCGCATATGGCACATTTGAACGGACGCAACGATGAAAGAACTGCTTGATGTTCAATTAAACTTCGTTTTGTACACAAACGGTTATCACATTTCTTAAAAAGAATACTACACATTATTGTCATTTTAAGAAATCAATACGCAATATATTTGACAACTACAATCGAAAAACGTACTTGGCACTCAATAGGTTTCTCAAGAGCAAAATGAAGTTTTTTATGGAATGTTAAATGCTTCTGAAGGTTAAAAGTTTTATCGCATATGTCACATTTATACGTACACAACGATGAATGAACTGCTTCATGTTCAGATAAACTTTGTTTTGTACACAAACGTTTCTCACATACCTTAAAAAGAATACTACACGTTGTCATTTTGAGAAATCAATACGCAATATATTTGACAAATACAATCGGAAAACATACTTGGTACTCATCAGGTTTTTCAAGACAAAAATGACGTTTACGATGGTGTATTAGACTTGTAGGAGTTTTAAACGTCTTATCGCAAATGTCACATTCATACGGACACAACGATAAATGAACTGCTTCATGTTCAATTAAACTTTGTTTTGTACACAAACGTTTCTCACATACCTTAAAAAGAATACTACACATTGTCATTTTGAGAAATCAATACGCAATATATTTGACAAATACAATCGGAAAACGTACTTGGCACTCATAAGGTTTCTCACACTCAGAATGATGACATTTAGAATGGTATATTAGATTTGCTTTAGTTGTAAACGTTTTATCGCATATGAGACATTTATACGGGCGCAACAATGAATGAACTATTTCATGGGCAGTTACTTGTTTTTTTGTCGAAAAACGGTTACCACATTTCTAAAAATGTATAGCATATTGTCTCTTTGACAAATTAATGCGCAATATATTTGAAGAATGCAATCGAAAAACGTACCTGACATTTATAAGGTTTTTTACGAGAAGAATGATTGTTAACTTGTCGCTCCATATTTCACTTACGTTGAAAAGTTGTTTTGCACGTGTCACAATCGTATGGACGCAATGACGAAAATTGACAGTTTTACAAAAATTGAAATCGCATTATTATACAATAGGTACGTGATAAATTTAGTAAAAGGTAAACAGCCTGAAAAAAAAAAAAAATAAGATTCAGGATAGACAGAAAGAAAGTGAGAAACAGAGCAAGGGAGAGATTACGTGAGAGAGAACATTAAGTATACTTTAGTGTATATACACAGTTTCTGACAATTACCTTAAAGTCTTTCGGAGGCAGGTAGGAGTAACACTGAGTCGAAAATTCTTGAATAAATTTTTTCTATTACATATAATACAGGAATAATTTTTGCATCAATCAAGCTAATCAGCGCCGACCTTTAGCTGGGCGGACCTCAGTGAGCCTAGCACCTGGTGTGCGTGAGAGCTTCGCGCGGCTCACTGACATGCGCCTGGCTAACAGACGGCGTTGATTGGCTTGATTTATTCAATAATTACTTTTTTAATATATATATATATATATATATATATATATATATATATATATATATATATATATATATATATATATATATATATAAATTTATGTAATAGAAAAAACTGGTTTAGCATCACTTTTCGACTCAGTTTTACTTCTTCTCTCTGCCTACGAGAGATTTTAAAATACTTGTTGAACACCTTGTATATTTTCCTTTCTTTGCGCACGAAACGTTTTCTGCTAGTTTCGGTAATATCATCAGTAGACTGTTCTAAATACTTTTGTTTCTCGTACTCTGAGCAAATCTTTATCAATATTCATAAACATTTTTAACTGAAGACTTATATATATACATACGCGTGGCGTTTGACAAGCAGTGAGCAAGGAATCATTTACGGAGAAGATTTCTACAAAGAACACGATGTGTATACGTCAGAGCACAAGAGAAAACTAAACGTTTAGCTCGTTGATATGTTATCGCAAACGGAACGAAAGCCTAAAACGTAAACACGATCTCGTCCTAGGTATAAATATAAATAGATAGAAGTGTTATTGTATCGTGACTTGGTGTGTAGGGAAGACAGATAATATGTTACATGTAGGTACCAATGTGGTGAAGTAACTTTGACGATTATTTGAAAAAAAAAAAATATACTAACACCTCAACTTGGTTTTTAATTTTACTTTTTCAATGCTTATTAATAAAAATTCACAATCGGTCGGCCGTAAGTCGAATTTCATTTTCAATTATTGAAATCATTGTACTTCGTTACACATCTATTCTGAATGCGATGCTACTGAAAAAGCAAATGGTTTCTCTGCAAATACATCTCGAGCCTTTCGATGGTCCAGTAACGAATACGATCAGGCACTTAAAGAAGAATCGAAAGAAACTGAAACCTAACAGGTTAATCGGTTAACGATACGAAAGTCGGGAGACTCGCGTTACACAAATTTGAGTTGCAATTACAACAAAGTACATAAAAAAAAGATGCGTATTTGAAATCGAAAGTGATCTTGATAAACACGCGGTTACCGTTACGCACTCCTTATTTAAGTGGCGAGCGCTGCCATTTCGCACACCACATCTCGATACATCGGTTCGTGGGGGGTTGAGACGAGTTCACGCGAACTATACAACGCGAATTTATACCCGCATTAATGTCCGCTTTTTTCTACTGCTTTATCAGAGCTCTTGTTTGCTAATTTATGAAATTTGCTCGCGGCAGTAATCATAATATCACGTTTTACTTCGGTTGTTGCAATATATATATTTGTGATCAGCGCGTGCAAATGTCTTTTTGCACGACAACTTTTTTAGGTGGTTATAAAAAAGAAATTCGCGTGCGCAGAAAGTATTATTATTAGCGCAATAAATATTCCACGATTTTTTTCTATAAGTGTTTGATTCGCACGTTGTATTTAAATTACGAAATTTTTGTTAAATTTTTATTTAAAGTAGAGGTTTGCATGACATACACACACTTTACACACAGGTATTTTTATAAAAATCGTTGCAGAGATAATTGTTGGATACTATTTACTTTATTTTATCATTTAAATGTGTGCAAACAGTAGAATATTTTTATGTTGCGTCATACAATATTATTCCGTAAAGTTTTGGATGTTATTGTTTCTTCGTCTTTTTTGGTACATAAAAATTTTTATTCGTTTTTTTTGTTCCATAAAATTTTCTGATACTAAGAGATTTCGTATTTGCGGGTATATTCTTGCATGCATTTTTGGATGTCGGTGAAATCAGCAAAGCTTTGTCTACAGAGTGTCCCGTAATGAGTAAAAAATCTTGCAGGGAGTGAATTTCGAACTTTTACAAGGAATGTAAAAGTTTCTTTTTTATTTTTGGTTTAGATTAGTATTTACCGAGTTTGTAACTATTAAAGTTCTTCAACGAGACAGCGCGTATATAAAGTATGCAGGAGCGTCGCGCGATGTGCTCCTTACACTCCTTACACTTGTCTCGATTACATGTCTTCTGTTAAAACTTCATTCTACTATGTCACACTGGATACTACATGTATAAATCAATAAAGACAGGTAGACATTAATCAACTAACTGATTTATTTGAAAAAAGTAGTGATAGATTGTCCGAAATTACTGAATACATAAATAATTAATGTCAATCGTGTCTTTTTACGTTTTTATTATTTAAAAAAATAACTCATGAACATAAATAGATGAGTTCTTCTTATTTAAATTAATTTACTTTTTTTTAGAAATAAATAAGTATTTCTAATTTAAAATAATTAAGTTTTTTAAATAATACTACCATTAGAAGACGTGATTAACAGTAATTATTTATGTATTTATTAATTTTGTACACTTTATCACTAATTTTTTCAAATAAATAAATTAGTCGAGTAGATTTTACCTTCTTATTTATTTCTTCATGTGTTATCTAGTTTGACATAGTAGAATGAAGGTTTACCAGAAGCAATCGAATCGGGACAAGTGCAAGGAGTAGCTTAACAAGCGACGCTTCTGCATATTACGTATATGCGCCGTCTCATTAAGAAACTTTAATAGCTAAAAACTCGGTATTTAAATAATGGTCTAAGCCAAAAATGAATATTGAACTGTTTGTCCAAAATTTTATCTTCTTTCACTTCTTGCACAGTTTACTCATCATTACGGGACACTGTATATTTAGTACATAAGTTCGGATTCACTAATGTGAACTGAGTCAAATAGACAGATATATTTATTTCGATATACTTATCATAGAGAAACATTTAATACTACATCCTGCAACAAATAATAAACTTAAATATATATGTGCGATATCACAGATCGATATCAAAGTGTATATGTAGTAAAAACCTAATATATAGTATAAACATATATTCCAAATGTATTATATGTGTATATATATGTATCTACATGTATGTATTATAGAAATATATATATATTTGTATATATTTATATATATAATAATATAATAATATATATAAATATTTTTATATATACATGGTGTCCCAGAATTGGTTTAACATCTCTCGTAGGCAAATAGAAGGAATAAAACTGAATCGCAAAGTCCTATACTCTTTTGCTAGATTCGCAATAGTTACTGAGATTTTAATTAACAAAGATCCGCGAATAAGCATGCATCGGACTGTTTTACGCGTGTAAGACAGCCCAGTGCGCTTTGCGCGCTAACAGTGTACCCATAGCGACATATGGGAGGAGCTACTATAACAGCATATACTAGTACATATACATATTAAAATGTAATTGTGCGAAGCGCGCCGGGCTGTCCTCCGCGCGTGAGACAGCCTGATGCACGCTTATTCGCGGATATTTGTTAATTAAAATTTCAGTAACTATTGCGAATCTAGCAAAATGGTATAGGACTTTTCGACTCAGTTTTATTCCTTCTACCTGCCTACGAGAAATGTTAAATCAATTCTGGGACACTCTGTATATATATATTAAAATACATAATGTTAAAACAAAACACTGGTATTATACTATTAGTACATATATTACATGTATATACATACTTTACATATATACATATAGTACATTTATTACGAATATGATTGAAAACTAATTAGAGGGTATAGGCCAATGAGAGCATATAAACACGGTTAATGTAGTGTTGATTATTAAGTAATTTAGTCTTTTATTAACATTATTCTTGATTGACGTTTCGACCGTCGTATTCGATCTTTTTCAACATTTTTATAAATTAACAACTTAATGGGATTAATTATGATCAGTTCTGTTTTTTAAAAGCAAAATCATGGTCAGTTGTTACTTCCAGTCAATGCAACGACGATCCTGTTTGTACTTTAAAAGTGATACCAACTACTTATTGTGATAAGGGCAACTGATTCCTGTTGCTGTTATCACTTTTAAAGACAGGATCGTCATGGCGATGAATCANAGTAACAACTGACCATGGTCGTGCCTTTAAACTCAGAACTGACCATAAGTGATCTCAGCGATTTGTTATTATATAAGGATTTTGAAAAAGACCGAATACGACGGTCGAACCGTCAATGACGAATAATGTAAATAGAATAATAAATTACTAAATCATCATCACTACATCAACCGTGTTTATATGCTCTCATTGATTGATATTCTCTAATTATTTTTGAAATTTGGAGCATCACATACTTTATTCAGATTTATTACTGAAAACCTTACTAGAACTTGTATACCTTTCCTTTTCTTTGCAGATTGTTTTCTTCATGATACATCTTGTTTCTCAAAAATTATTTTTTTTTTTAAACTTTTTTCGCATATATTATGTGTAGTGAACACAACTTCTACGTTGATCTGTCTGTATTTGTGACTTAAAAAAATTACCTCACACCTTACAAAGTATAATACATATTATCTTCACTTTAAGAAATCAGTGCAGTATATTTTATTACTACATTCGAAAAACGTACTTGGCACTGATAAGGTTTCTCAGAATCTGAATGAACAACTATATAATGGTATCTTCGATTTGCGTTAGTTTCAAACCTTTTTCCGCATTTGTCACATTTGTACGGACGCGACAATGCATGAAGTGCTTCATGGGTTTTTAATTGGTGTATTCTCCAAAACTTTTTATTACATTCCTTAAATAGAATAGTAAACATTATTGTCACTTTAAGGAATCACTGCGCAATATATTTGACGAATTCAATCGGAAAACGTACTCGGCACTGATAAGGTTTCTCAGAATCAGAATGAGAAAGTTTATAATGATATCTTAGGTTTCCTCTAGTTTTATACGTTTTATTGCATTTGTCACATTTGTACGGACGCGACGATGAATGAACTGCTTCATGGTCTGTTAAATGGCCTTTTGTCCAAAATTTTCTATCACATTCCTTAAAAAGAATAGTAAACATTATTGTCACTTTGAGATATTAATGCTCAATATATTTGACGAATACAATCGGAAAACGTACTCGGCACTGATAAGGTTTCTCAGAATCAGAATGAGAAACATTATAATGGTATCTTAAATTTGCCTTAGTTTTATACGTGTTATCGCATTTGTTGCATTTATGCGGACGCAACGATGCATGAACTGTTTCATGGTCAGTTACTTCTTGTTTTGTGTTAAAACGTTTATCACAGAACTTAAAAAGAATAATACACATTATTGTCACTTTGAGAAATCAATGCGCAATATATTTGACGAATACAATCGGAAAACGTACTTGGCACTGATAAGGTTTCTCATAATCAGAATGTTGACCTATATAATGGTATCTTAGAGTTGCCTTAGTTTTAAACATTTTTTTGCATTTGTCACATTTGTACGGACGCGACGATGAATGAAATGCTGCATGGATTGTTAAGTGGTGTTTTCTCCAAAACTTTTTATCACATTCCTTAAAAAGAATAGTAAACATTATTGTCACTTTAAGAAATCACTGCGCAATATATTTGACGAATACAATCGGAAAACGTACTTGGCACTGATAAGGTTTCTCATAATCAGAATGTTGAACTATATAATGGTATCTTAGAGTTGCGTTAGTTTTAAACATTTTTTTGCATTTGTCACATTCGTACGGGAGCAACGATGAATGAAGTGCTTCATGCTCAGTTAAGTTTCGTTGTGACGTCAACTGTTTCCCACAGAACTTAAAAAGAATAATACACATTATTGTCATTTTGAGAAATCAATGCGCAATATATTTGACGAATACAATCG